ACAAGGTCGTGCAGGCGTTCGCGAACCAGGTCAAGAACGATAAAAACAAGAAAGGTTTTCGTCCGGGCGAGGGCGGGCTGCCAGACGAAGGAGGTTGAACAAACCCTACCAGACGTGGTGGGGCGCGTCGATTTGCGAGTCAATGTTATAGTCCTGAAACGCAAGGCCGCAGCAGACAAGACGTGCAGCATCGCCTTTTCGGCGATAAAGGCGGCGCTCGGCTTTGACAAGCTCACCAACAAGGGTGCGGGGACCATCTGGCCCAGGGACCCCCTTTTTCACCGCAGTGGAGCTTGGCCACCAAGGATGACGGCGTTGTTCTGGTGACCAGAAATACCGTTACGACCCCGACGGGCAGCAAGCACGGGATCACGTTCAATCGCGTCGTCGCCATCCAGGGTTACTCGATCGACGGCGCCGCGGTGAAGTCGCAGTTCCAGGATTTTCTGAGGCCGCGCGCGAACGCAGTTTTTTTCGTAGTGGTCACAAAGGTGGCCCCTTCGGAGGCCTCGCTCGCGGCCGCGCCGAAGCGAGCCAGAGGCAGCGACAGTTGGCAGATACGGGACAGGCAGCGCGCGCACTGGGCAGAGCACCGCCTGCCCTCGCCGCTCGATGTCTCTCTTCCTTGCGCTGCGCCTAGGCCTGGCGCCGAGGAGCGCGACGGCAAGCAGACGGCGGAGGCCAGGAATATCCAGCCAGGCAAAACCAAAAACCCGTTGCGAGACGAATTGTATCTTTTACCGCGCAGCCCTCTGCCTGCTCCTGCGACCGCCCTGGCCGTCGCCGCCGGCCCCTTGCCCGGCCCCCCCCGCCCCCCCCCCCGCTGGCGCCAGGGGCTGCCGCGCGACGGGCGCGATCAGCGCCAGCCCCGGGACCCCGTTCCGCCCACTCCTCTCCGAGCGCCCCCGTCGCCGCCCCGGCAGAGCCGGGCGGGGGCGGCGGGCCAGCCAGCGAATCCCGCCCCGGTCCCGTGGCAGAGCCAGGGCCGGGGGGGCCCCATGACTACGTCGCCCAGAGGGTGGGCGGCCGGGCGCGGGCTATCCCAACGGAGCGTCCACAGACTACTGTCGGATGTTCCACCCATGCTGGCTTTTCAGCCGTCAGCGGCGTGGCTGGTCAGCCGCGGCCAAAGCACCGAGACTCGCTTACTTGTCCGTCCGTCCGTCCTCCTCCTTTCCTTCCTCCTCTTCCTCCTCCTCGCTAGTCCCCATCCCCTCATCTTTTTCCCGTTCCTGCCTTCCCTCCGCCTGCCACCCCCCTCTCCCCCCCAGTCTCCCCTGCCCCAGGACGAGCGCAAATAGTTGCGGCCAGCGGAGACCGAGCGTCGCCCCCAGGGAAGCGCGTTGTCAGAGGCCTCGAGAAACTGCGCGGGGATTGCGAGAAGCCGCGTCTGTCGCAGCGCGACGGGCGAGCCGCTGCACCAAACGCATCGAGGCCAGAAGGCGCAAACGAGGGGGGGGGGGGGGGGCGCTTCCCGAGGCCCTTCGGGCCGAGGAGCCCAAGGGCAGTCGTGCTCCCATTTGTTACATACCATGCCGACACGAATTGCATATAGCGACATTGAATGCGCTACGCGCGAGAGATCCCATTGAACGCCCAGAAATCAAGAAATGGACGCAGCAGAATCGCAATGACATCCTGCGTCTTCTGGAAACACACGCGCCCGACAATCGCAGAGAAAAAACACCAACCATATCGCCGGTACTTCAGTGGCGAGACGCGCGTTCAGGCCGAAGACCGCTTTTCCGCTGGAGGTGCCATTCTAGTATCAAACGAATGGGCGAAGTACATTGAATGTCCAGCCACTGAACGATCGGCTAATGTACCTCGTCCTGACTTATACTGCCCCAATCATCATAATGAGTTGCTACAGCCCCGCGCGGCGGCACCGACAGGCATCGAGCAAGCATTTCACGCGCGTGCGAAACAACTCCACAGGAGGTGCTGCTTCCGCGGTCCAGTGCATCGGCTGTGCAGAAGGGTCCAGGCGAAACTCACACGGGATGAAAACGCCATCGGTCCACGCACGTTTGACCCAAACACCGCGTGGCTGGAACGCCAGACTGACGACGTGCACGGACATCGTCAACTCTTCATATCTCACTGCGTCTCCACAAGCAGTCCAGCCACGAACGCGGTTTTCTCCAAGCCACTGGAGAGACTAGCCGCGCACAGGGCGCCAGCGGCACAACGGGGCCCTCATTTCCGGGGCCGCGCGACATGCTCGATTACGTATTGGTGCCACAACGTTGGGAAAACAGCGCGCGCAATGTGGAAAGCCATACATCCGCAAACCTTTCCTTTGACCATTGCCCAGCGGCGGCGACCATGAGATGAACATGAATTCACGGACCAACGTGTCACGAGAGGCGCTAATATCTTCAGTATTCTGAGGCTCAGAAACAAGCTTACAATGCGTATATCAGGAGACTGGCCCCAGGAGCGCGCGCCACACAGCCTCGCCGCCGCCGCGCGGCAAGCGGCAGAAGGCAGAATACCGGAGCTTCCTCCAAAACGGAAGCCACAGGAGGTATCCGCGAGGTGGAGGCCCTCCTCCACCGGCGACAACATATAATGAAACACAGCAGCGACGACAAAATAATCAAGCCACTCGCCGCCCAAATCGAACAGCAGCGCCGGCAAGACACATGGCAGGCTCTGTTAGATTCCGCGCAGCAGAATATGGGTGTCCGAGACCGCCGGTTGGGCCTCAAGCGGTTGCGCGCGGAGCATGCGCCGCTGCCGCGCGCGCGCGAAACATCTGACGGAACGTCCGTGCCATTGCATGGGGGAGCAGAAGAAGCAGCGAGCTACTTCGCAACCAAGCAGCGGGTCGCTCCGCAAATACAAACAAACCCAGGACAGGATGCAGGGGAAGAGTTGCTGTGGGAAGACTCAGTTGTGACTCGCCCCTTGGCGTGGGATTAATCTCCGCTGACAATGGCAGAACTGCGAGCAATCCTGAAGAAATTCCAAAGACGGAAGGCACCAGGCCCTGAAGTTCCAATGGAATTCTTCAAGGAAGTGGACGACGAATCGCTCGCCTTCGCATTGGACATGCTCAACGACTGGTGGGCCCAACGCAGCGTGCCCCCAGAATCATTGAAGGCGCGGGTGGTGTTCCCTATATAAGAAGGGAGATTCCAGCAACATGAACAGCTACCCCCCTTTTCTCTTATGAGCAGCACATGCAAGATTTGTGCCGCCTTCATTCGGGGCGGCCTTTGCGCGCGTTGGACCCGCGTCTACAACGAACTCAACGCGGATTCCGCCAGCGAAAAAGCGCGGCGCAAGCCATTCACCTCGTTCGGGGAGCAATGGGGGATGGCGAGCGCACAGGCAACAAGTTATTCTTCTCACTGTTCGATTGGGAGAAGGCGTTCGACAAAGTCAGTCACGAGGCGCTTTCCCAATCCTTCAAACGCACGCAGGTCCATTCACCAATCCTTGAAACCATTCGTTCCCTGTACTCGAGTCCAACTTTCTCTGTTGAAAGTAAAAGCTCTTATTCGCAACTGTACGCGCATGCCACAGGAATGCGCCAGGGCTGCCTCTTGTCACCGTGCCTGCTCCTTGTAGTTATGCCGCGCTTTATTCCATGACGCCCATGCGTGCCACCCGGTGGACCAGGAACTGATGGCAGGGCGAGTTCCGGGTCAAACGGAGGATGATATTTTGTATGTTGACGACGCCAGATGTGCATCCACAGCCGCGCTGCGTTGGAAAAGCTTTTGCACGCCATACAGGACGAGAGCGTAAAATACGCCTTGGAACCTAATGCGTCGAAATGCGAAATCGTTCAGTTTGGGCAACACGTCGCATTGAAATCCCGCCATGGAGCAGTAGCGCCACACATGCACAAGGTAAAATGTTTTGGATGCTTGGTCAACGACAGAGGAGGCCCGCGAATGGAGATGCGACGTCGACTGTTGGTTTGTATTCGCGTGTGGAAACTGCTTGGTTTGTTCTTCAAGAGCTCAGATTGTTCCGTTGGCCTGAAACTGCAGGTCTTCAGTGCTTTCTACGCTCGAAGTTGATGGGCGGCTTAGAATCGACGCGGCTTACGGAGAGCTCGCGCCAACGCTTGGGCATTTGTTCAATTGAAGAGGCTCCGACACACGTTGGAGAAAACAAGCAAAACAACACAAACAACATACGTTGACAGACAACACAGCAAAACCAACGTGCACGCACGCGCGAACGAGCAGCTGCAAGCGCAGAGGCCGGAAGACCGCATTGAACGTCTCAGCGAGTACTACCACGCATACGATTCAAAACCCTCGCAGCAATTTCGGCCAGCAGGAACGACGACCCAGTGAAAACCACGTTACTAAACCCAACAACTTTGAAACAGCACGAAGTAGGGACGCTTCGAGTGGGACGGCCCAGATTAGTTGTTACAAAGTAGCGCTCGCCGAGTATTGCCAGCGAGTTGGCACGTCGTACGATGTTTGCGTGGCCAGAGCACCGCCCAATCTTGGGGACGAGAGGCATTCGGCATTGTTGAAGCAAGTGGCAGGCGACAGCTTCCATTAGGCTGTCTGTCCTTATCGGCACACGATTACTATACACAACCTCTCAGCACGGTCGGTATGTAGGTCGGTAGGTCGGTAGACACCATTCCTTCCTTTCTCCTCAATTACCTCCCCCTCTTCCTTTTCAGGGGTCGCGCCTGCAGGACAAGACCACACAGGGCGACAAGGGCCGCGATTGCGCGAGGCAGGAGCGTAACCGGGCATGTGAGGTCTATGCCACGGGGTATCTATGCACATATGCATTTACACATACATGTTTATGAACAAGTACATACGTGTGTGTATATATATATGTATACATATATACAAATGTAGACCTATGCATATGTTCATATAAGTTATCCACGACGACGTCGCCGATGCATCGGCGAGGCGGCCTGATCCTCCGACCCCTCTGCCTTGACAAATTTTTCGGAGGCGTCGACCCTCCTTGTGGCGCTCGGGCCGCGTAGCCCCCCACGGAAGGGGCTGCGCTCGTCGGTGGACGCCTTGCGGGGCGACGTGGACGCGATGCGCCGCGGCGAGCCGCCGAGGGCCGCATCATCTCTCGAGCACCTGTCGATCTGAACTCCCCGCGCCCCGCGCCCGCAACGCAAGGGCGGGAGCGCCGTTCCTCTTCCTCCTCGTCCTCCTCCTCTTCCTCTTCCTCCTCCTCCTCCTACTCCTCCTCCTCCTTTTCCTCTTTTTCCTCCTCCTCCCCCTCCTGCTCCTCCTCTTCCTCCTCCTCTTCCTCCTCCTCCACCTCCTCCTCCGCCTCCACCTCCTCCTCGTTTTCCTCCTCCTCCTCCTACTCCTCCTCCTCCTCCTTGTTCCCCTCCTCGTCTCTCCTCCTCGTCCTCCTCATCCTCTTCCTCTTCCTTTTCCACCTCCTCCTTTTCTTCCTCCTCCTCCTCGTCCTCCTTCTCCACCGCCTCCTCCTCCTTTTCCTCCACCTTCTCCTCCTCCTCCTCCTCCTCCTCCTCCTCCTCCCCATCCTCCACCTCCTCCTCCTCCTCCTCCTCCTCCCCTCCTCCTCCTCCTCCTCCTCCTCCTCATCCGCCCTCCTCCTCCTCGTCCTCCTCCTCCTCCTCGTCCTCCTCCCCCCCATGTCCCCCTCCTTCCCTCCTCATTTCCTCCTCCTCCTCCTCCGCCTCCTCCTCTCCTCCTCTTCCTCCTCCTCCTCCTTCTCCTCCTCCTCCCCTCCTTCCTCCTCCTCCTCCTCCTCTTTCTCCTCCTCCTCCTCCTCCTCCTTCTCCTTCTCCTCCTCCTCTTCTCATCCTCCTCCTCCTCCTCGACCTCCTCCTCCTCCTCCTCCTCCTCCTCCTCCTCCTCTCCTCCTCCTCCCTCCTCCTCCTCCTCCTCCTCCTCCTCCTCCCCCCCTCCTCCCCCTCCTCTCCTCCCTCCTCCTCCTCCTTCTCTCCTCCTCCCTCCTCGACTCCTCCTCCTCCTCCTCCTCCTCCTCCGCCTCCTCTTTCTACTCCTCCTCCTCTTCGTCCTCCTCCTTTTCCTCCTCCTCCTCATCCTCTTCCTCCTTCCTCTCCTCCTCCTCTCCCCCCCCTAAAGCATCGGGTTGCGAGCGCGCCCCGCTGGCCTTGCCCAGGCCCAAGCCCAGCGCCGCTGCGATGGGGTCGCGCCGTTGCGTGGTGCTGATGGGCGGCGAGGAGTGGAACCAGCTTCCAGGATGCTGGGACATCCCGCCGTTCGTGGCGGCCTAGATCGCAAAGGCCAACGAGGAGGTGCTCGGGCGCGAACGGCTGGAGGTCGCAGGGGGGGCTTTGAAGCGTGCGGGGGGCAGGCCGCCGCCTCAAGTCAAGACGGATATCTAGCAGGATATCGAGCAGGAGGATACCTGGAGCGTGCAGTCTGTACCGCATGGTCCCGAGTTCCCGGATTTCCCGATCAAGGAGGAGTACATGGTGGATGCGCAGGAGTTTGAGGTGGACCACCAGGTCGTTGCCGTGGTTCGGCTATCAGCGGCCCCGCGGGGGCGGGACCTGGAGACCATGAGGGCGATCTTGAGCAGGCTGGAAGCCCGGGTCAAACCGCGCAAGAAGGAGGAGACCGTGCTGGAGGTCCCGTTGGAGCTCGCAGACCGCGTGGTCGGGCCCAGGGAGGGGCGGGCAAGGGCACCGCTGCCCCATTCCCTCCCCCGCAGGGCACCGACTGCCAGGCCAAGGAAACCATTCCCGATGCCCCAGCCGTTGAATACCAGCAGGTCGACGGGGAAGGAGATCCTGAGTCGCGCGACTGTGATGACCAGGCAGGAGACGGAGGGGAACCGGACGCAGCGCTCGAGGGCTCCCTGGAGGCAAACATTTTCGAATTCGACATCGCGCTCGAGATCGGCAACGCCCTGACGAAGATCGGGGACAAGCTAATCAACTTCGACGGGAATCTCGCATCGGTTGAGGCCGCGGTCGAGGGATTCGATCACCGGGTGCATCAGGTAGAAGATGGAGCGAAGTCTGACGAAAGCGGCCCTTGGTGAAAAGTGAGGCTGCCGAATGGCTCATGTCCCATTAGGTGCGTGATGGACGTAAAAACGAACGGACTGCGGTAGCAGCTCCTTTCCATCGAGGCTCAGCTCCAGTCCGCATTGGAGCCAATCAAGGCAAGGGACCTCGAGGCGAAGGGGATGCAGCAGCAGTCCGAGGCACAACAGCAGAAGGTGAACGAGCTGGAGCGGCAGCTTCGAGACCTACGGCATCGTGGGCCCCCGGCTTCTTAGCCACAGCGTGCCGACGCTCTGGCGAAGCGGATCGACGCCCTGGAGGCGCAGTTCTGCACAATGACGAAGAAGCAGGAGGTGCAGCACAGCGTGCTGCACCCTACCATGGACATCAAGGTGGGGGAGTGTCAGGTGGACCTGAACAAGGCGCTCTCCGAGTCGGAGGGCCTCGCCCCGAGGCTCTTGCAGACGGTGCTGCTCGGGAAAATGTCCGGCGAGGTCATTCGGGCTGCTTCCGGGGGCCCCTCTGGACGGGAGTTCGGCGACTGCGAGCCCTGCTTCATCGGCATCACGAACGGGAAGTTCGCCCGGCCGGGGCGGCACCACTTTTTCGTCTCTTGCGTCGCCCGGTTTTTTCACTGAGCCCCCTGGAGCTTGCGCCAGGTCCGTCGGCGGGAGATGGGCGGAGCGGCTGCCGCTCACTCGCTCGCCCTCCTCTTCCTCCTCTTCTTCCTCGTCCCCCTCTGCCTCCTCCTCCTCCTCCTGTTCCTCCTGTTCCTCCATCTTCCCTCCGCCTCCTCCTCCTTATCTTTTTTCTCCTCCGCACGTTTTTCCTCCTCCTCCTCCTCCTCCTCTACCACCTCCTCTTCCTGATCCTGATTTATCTATCCTGTAAATAGTCCTCCTCCTCCTCATCCTCCTATTCCCCCCCCTCCTCCTCCATTTCCTCCTTTTCCATCTCCTCCTCCTCCTCCTCCTCCTTCCTTCTCCTCTTCCTCCCCCTCGCCCTCCTCTCCCCCTCCACCTCCTTTTTGTTCCACCTCTTCCTCCTCCTCCTCCCCGTCCTCCTCCTTCTCCTCCTCCTCCTCCTCCTCCTCCTCCTCCTCCCCGTCCCCGTTTTCCTCCTCCTGTTCTTCTCCTCCTCCATTCCTTCCATTTATACATAGCTTTTTCTTTACGCATCCCGAGGCTAATGTTTAGGACAGGCATGGCATTTCGCTGGATCCGTCCTCATCAGTTATGACCCTGAACCTTGAGCATTGGCCACAGCTTCACGGATCGATGGCGGCCTGGTTTTCAACATGTGGCTTTCGCTTTAGCGCCGCGCACGCTCGGTGCTGACATTTGTAAGAGTTCCATGGATTGAACGCGGCCCGTTTTCTACATGCGGTTTTCGCTTTAGCGCCGCGCACATTCGGTGTTAAAAGTTGCAAGAGCTTAGCGTTTGAGGGCGGCTCCTTTTCAAAATGTGGTCCTCTCCTTGGCGCCGCGCACATTCATTCTTGCTATGTTGTAAGAGTTTCAGTTGTTTCCATGATCAGCGTGCCAGAAATTGTGTGTTGGACAGGTTCCGGAATATGAAGGTGCAACAGTTACGTTGGCTCGCGGCGTTGAAGTCCCAGGTGTAGCGTTTTGGCGCGATTCCAGATCGCCAAGGCGAAACAGTCGGGTTGTTCCGTGGCGTTGGAGTCCCGAGAACATGTTTGCTTCAGGGTCTTCAGGTGGCTGTTGTCGAGGCAGTTCCCTCAGTGCAAATGAACCGTTGTATGTATGGGGCTTATGAAGAGGGAGCTTGGAAAGAAAAAGAGAGAGAGAGAGAGTTCATTCCAGCATCGTTGATGGTTCTTGGGTTTACAGTGGTCCTCCTCATCCTTCGTCTCTTCCTCATCCCCTCCTTCTCCTCCTCCTCCTCCTCCTCCTTCTCCCCCTCTTTTTTGTTTCTCCTCCCCCTTTGTTTTATTCTCCCCCTCCTCCTCCTCTGCCTCCTCCTCCTCCTTCTCCTCCTCCTCTTTCTCATCCCCCTCCTCCTCCTCCTCCTCCTCCTCCTCCTCCTCCTCCTCCTCCTCCTCCTCCTCCTCCTCCAGGCCGGGACAATTTTCAAATGCCTCGCCACCGCAGATATGTGGTGTAGCCTGGGCTCTGTGTGGAACCACCTGAATGCGGTGTGGATCCGATGACGTCAGGTTATTTATCCTCCCCGTTTGCGGGTACTACAAGGAATGGGCGGGAGGCGGTCGTTGTTGTTCTCTGTCGTCCTTCGTGTCTCGTTTCGTCGTCGTGTTTGTCTTCCATTTTTTGGGGGGGGGGTTGCCGCGCGGCTCTGGATTAAGTTTCGGGGGGGGCGCTGTTTGCGCTCCTGGGCCAGAGAGTGGCCTTCCCCACCCCTTCCCTCCCCCTGCTGCCGCCGCCGTCGCCGTTGCAGCTGTCATGCCAGGGTTGTTAGCGCCCTGCCACCTCGGCCAAGCGGCCTGGGCGCGGGAAAACCCCAGTGGCAACTCCTGGTCAGAGGTGAACCGCCGTCGACGTTCACGGAGGCGGGGCCCACGGCTTCCCGCCTGCAGCCCCTCCGTTGCAGTGTTGTTTGCCGTGGGCATATCGCTGCCGTGCCAGCGAGGGCGCGGGCGCTGGGAAACGCTCCGAGTTTCGCCCCTGGGGCGCCGATCCCGAGCCCCGATGCGCCATGGCGCGGGGTGTAGGGTGGTCCTCGTTTTTTTGATTGTCTCTGGATGTCCTCCCCACGGCGCAGCGTTTCTGGCGCCATTTGGAGTCAGCCCGGAAAAGGAAGCTGGAGGTCAGGTCCCAACTAGTGTCCGCGATGCCCCCTTTCTGCACGCGCGCCCTTGGTATTGGCAGTTGGCCACGCTCGCCGGTGGCCAGGACACGTCGGCTCGTGCTCGTTGGGTACCACGGTTTTGTTTTGCCTGTTCGGGCCTGCGACACTCCTCCTCCGTCTCTGCCACCTCTTCCCCCGTCCCCTTTTTCCCTGCTCCTCCTCATCCTCAACCGCATCCTTCTCCACCTTCTCCGTCTCCCACATCCCCCTCCACCTCGTCCTCCCCCGCCTCCTCCCCCTCCTCCTCCCAGTCCTCCTCCTCCCCCTCCTTCCTCCTCCTCCTCCTCCCCTCCTCCTCCTCCCTCC